ACTGCATTTAAATGTCATCGTTAGACGGTCTCAACACCATCGGCATCCTAGCTGGCACCAGTTTCTGCCTTCCCATTCCGTAGCCACCTTTTGAATTTTCCCCAATCCCCATACACGTCCCCGTTGGCTATGAATAAATAAAGTACTGCGACACTTTTTGGTGACAAGGAGCCCACCGAGAAAACCGCAGTTCTTCGTGCGGTGGGAGAAAATAAAAAAATAAAAAACAAACTTTCGCTCGATTAGAAATGTATTTCGTTTATTCCAAATTTAATAGTAAAACTTACGGTTCAGATTTTCATTTCGGCATCATTTTAACTTTTTTACTCGAGAGAAAAACTAGCGCGGGAAGCTGTCGATTGCGTTTTTAGACTCTCTCAGCACAGTATCAATTTGCAACGAAATCCTATCGACAGTTCCTCGCGCAAGTTTCGCTCTCAAGCGGACACCTACCCTTAGAGATAACGCAACGATATCGGTAAAGTACAGAGGGAAAAGTTTATCAAAACTTTTCTCTCCGGTGATTGAATAGAAGATATTGATATAAAAGGAGAATAGCGGATAGAAAAGTGGTGAGGTGACGTGGAAAAGAAGGTGGCGTCTGAACATCCATAGAAGCTTCAAGGAAAAGGTGAACAGAGGGTACCATTACTTGCAAGTGGTGCTTCCACCATGCTCGCCGTCTTTCCGTTAAACCCGATATTTATTGTGCTGGTCGTCCCTCTTTTGCCGCTTTCATTTAAAAATATTATCGCTGACGGTGAATGGCCCAGCGTGACTGCATTCAATTTTTCATTTATTTTCTCCCGTTCTATATTAACCCTTCTGCTGTTAAAACAAGTATTTCGATGATTTTCTGAATTGCCACAAAGAAATGCTAATTATTTTAATTTTTTAAATTCGAATTAATTATGATACCCATTTCTGTATTAATGAAGCAACGATCACGCGGTATCGCGTTAAATAATTCTTTTTCTTTTTCTTCTTGGAAAGTATTGTTGCTGATTTTCTACTTAACTAAGTGTTTTACGCGTATTGTTCATTATCCAATATTAACAACCTTGTGCTTATCCAAGTGCAAATATTATCGCTGATCAATAGTCAAGCATCGAAGATACGGCTATTATTTTTTACCGATCGTTTAACAATTCCCATAAGCGTAATTAACACCGAAGGCTATTTAACTTCCTTCTTTTTATCTCCTTTCTCAATGAACGAGGATTGCCCTCGATGCAAAATCAACCACTTCAACATTATACTTTACACAATGCCTTTTTACGTCGACCAGTTTGTTCAAAGTATTTCAAGTACCATTTTTTAAATATGAGTTTTTTCCCCTTTGGTAATTGTTTCAGAAAAATTTGCATTTAAATTTAAAAAAAAAAATTGAAATTGTTATCTGTTGTGATTTTAGAGATAAAATTTCATTTACTTTGTAAAACGAAAAGATTAATTATTATTATAAAACCAGGTTTAATGTTCGTTAAAATTATAGAAAATTACAGTTTTAATTAGTAAACGTTAATTTAATGCACATATAATGAATGAGTATTAAAAGGAAAATTGAATAAGAACTTCAAACGTCCACGTGTCGCTTACAACTGAAAATGAGATGGTCATTAAACGAATTAAGTGAAATGAAACGGATAAACGTAAACTATGCACCTTGCACCACACGATCTACCGCATCACAGCGTTAATGAGTGTCGATTTTTTTTGTAACGAGGTAATAATGACCGTGACATTGAAGCTTTTAAAAACGTATAATTACAAACAAAGAATAGTTAGTACTAATTTAGCCCCGATAAACAGCTAAATCAATATGCTAATTGAAAAAAAAAAAACTCTTTTTAACCTATTTGAAAATTTTTCTTTCTTCGAACTGTAATATTTACAATTATTTAATGAAATTATAAATTTCAAGATTGTTTGTGAAAATAATATGAAACGTGAAAATCATTTAGCATAAGAGGTTTAAAATTCTTACACCTGTAGAGCAAAGTAATGACAGTGAAGCAGTGAAATAACTTTATGAGCGTGAATAAGAGAAACAAATGTTGAACCCTTTAAGTGGCAGACCAGTAGGTAGCTGGTTAGGTAGCCGGTGATCATTTTCGAGCGTAAGAAAGTACTTAAATTTCAGTAAATACATAGCGTTGTTCAAATATTTGCTACCGTACCCGTTTATTTTACGCTCGCTCACTTTTCACGTCTCAGTTTCTTTCTACTTTTCCGTTTTCAATACCGATCAAATTTTATTAAAAAATAAATAAAATAAATACAACCCCGCCAAGATTTAACCCTTTATTGTATAATTAATTGAATTTCAAAAATAGAAAAAAATTTTTTATTTCCACAAATAATAATAATAAATAAATAATTTTATTTTAAAACTAAATAATAACCATACCAAATTTCCAACACTATCATTGTTATATAAAAATTAAAAAATGCAGAAATGTACAAAAAATTAAAAAATTATGTATGGAAGGTTTAATTAAGCGTTTCACAGAGAAAGAAAAAGGTTGAACGCGAGCCGCATACCGGTCTGACACCGAAAGAGTTAATTATGACAAAGATGGTATCCCACGGGCGAGCAGACTTGTTTACTACCTGTCAGTCATCGGCGTATTAAGCCCGGCGTCGTGACGTGCAACAATCCCGGTGAAGGAAAGAAGTCTCGTCGAAGATTTAAAGAACAGCGAGGAATCGTGCTCGGTAGGTGATAAGACGGTAGTAGACGATGTTTTTCTTTCTCCCTTTCATCGCGAGCCTAACCACCAGATAGCCGTCGAACTGTCAGTCAAACGTTCGATAACCAATGGTCGACAATCCCTACTACCGCACGCCGGGGAAGAATCATTTTCATCCGAAGAGGGCGTAGCAAAAACTACAAGAGGCGACCGCTGCCGACGGCGCCGATGCCTGACTGCTGCGCAACGCTCTACCTATAGGGTGCTCGAGAAAATTTCGTGCGGGAAATTCGACTTGCTTTTCCTCGCTTCTTTCCCTCCGTCTACCATGTAATTAACCCTGAATTCGTATATCTAATAGTTTTCTAAGAGGAAAGCCCTGATCCCGTAGACATACGGTCATTTTGATATAAGAAAATGTTCCGTATAAGAATTTCAATGGCAGCGGTTTTCAAAGCTAACTTGGGATCAGATTAAATTAAGCAGAAAATTCGTCAATATATATGTATGGAACGCGCGGTTGGGATGTTACGGTGATACTTCATTGCGGCATCTTTGTCGCCCGTCTTTTTTTCCACAACAAATTCTTTGAACGATTTCAACCGGTTCTACTGATATGATGTAAACACCGATTTGTTCGTTGCTCCAGAGATGCAGTTGTGTTAGGAAGCAACGTTTGCCGTTTCATGTAATTCGCTTAACGGAAATTGTTCTAAATAGAAACACAAACAGCTAAACCTATCCGGCCGATCGTATTTACTAATGCAGGGTTAAATGGCTAATTCGTAGTGTCACTAATCAAACTCTAGTTTCGCATTCATTTCTGTAATCTGATTTCATTTGAATGTAACTGGTAAGAATTAAGGTCATGGTAATTTGCAATTTAAAATTCCCGCCAGTTCTTATATGATTATAAATACATTTGCGTAGTAATTAAATTAACTGAAGATACAATGCTGTACAATTTTTTTATATTTATATAATAGAAATGGTATTGTTATTTTTAGGATACCGTGTATAATAAAAAGAAAAATTAATCAATCGCGTGTACAAGATAAGGGTACGCTCTTACTCCACGCGAGATTGCCTCGCAAAATAAGTTTGTCGAAACGCGAATGATTAAACAACGCAAACATGTTATTATATGGAAATAATCAAATAATTTAAAAAAGAAACAAAATCATATTTAATGTATAGTATAATAAATAAGAAACATCAATGAAGAAAGAATAACAGGAAAAATTAGTCATAGAATGAGGATGATGTCATTTGAGAAAAAAAAGTTGTTTTTAGCAGGATTAGTAAGGCCCTTGAAAATATCGATCGTATCAATCCGCAATTCTGTCAAGGCAGACCGCGAGAAATGGGCGTTCACTGGGGGCATTGCGCACAAAACAAGTTTTTCGTGTATATCGGCGCACCAGGAACGAATAAACGAACCTAACCTCACAAATTCACAGGTGCATGGCCCAGCGGGAATTAGGTTGAACAAACGATACCTCGAAACAGCTGTCTTCGTGACACTGTTCTACCGAAAATTCGTTTCTTATTTACTCACCGTATGGCGAGGCCAGTTTCGACAAATCCGACAGGAACAAAACAACCCCGTTCAGCAGTTTTATTTTTCCTCGAGATATTTTGGTCGGCGTGTCTGATTACTCGGAAACTGGATGTCTTTTTCGGCCACGTGATAAACGGAAACCCGACGATAATCACGTACCGACACCGGTGTCCGATTCACTCGCGCGTCAACACAAACCGTTCTGTTTACCACTGTCTACCTAAGTATGATAAATTAAAGTAATCGGACATTTTTCAACATGCTACTCCACGGTCCTGGTCTACTCCTTCCACTGACACGTCTTTTGTGACGTCATCGATTCAATACTTTTCGCCAAGGTTTCTCCTCTCTGTGATGTTACTCGCCGCACGGAGGTGGCGCTACTGGCGCCATTTTACGCGCATTCGAACGTCGTTCAAATTTACGCGCGAATTTCAAACTCGACGCGAAAAAATTATTACATTTTTTCTTTTACTATTATAAATATCTATTATTCTCAAATATACTTTGTCGTTCAATATTTATGTTTTTAATATTATAAATTAATTATATTTGCATGATAATTGAAATAGAAAATAAATTCTATTATTTTTAACAAACAAAATTCTATCTGTATTACGTAGATAACGCTAGACTTACCGAACAGGAAATTAACGAATTAAAAGCATTTACCTGCTGCTCAGGGCGATGAGTAACAGTGATCAACGGTATCTTATCATCGTTTTCTTATCAAAAATGCTCGTAACTTGATACAGAAAACCTATTTCAGTTGTTACTTGTGAAACCTTAGTGCCGTTGATCTCACGACAAATCATGGATCAACGATTGTTGCTTGTTCTCATTTTCGTTGTTTCGACAGCTCAGTGCCAGAACAACGTCCAAAACTCTAATGTCATGATTGTGAAAAATGAAACTGTGAATCATGTAGCGACAAAGACAAATGAAACGGTACCTGGGCCGAAACTTCCAAGTTTGTGTACTATTTGCAACTGTACAGGTAACTCATATCGCTAATAATAATCACAAAAACATAAATCGAGTGCTAATAAAACGAATAAATATTTTTATAGACGACACGATAGATTGCGAAGACAGAAATCTGACCGATTTATTCTACGGTTCCCAATGGCCAAACGCAACTTTTAACTTGGTATCGTTCCAAGGAAACCAGTTAACTTTTATAAAACCATTTCCAAAATTGCATATCAAAAAGCTAATTCTAAGAAATAATAAAATTATGAATATCAGTCATTCAGCCTTCAAACAATTGATCAATCTTACCGAATTAGATTTAAGTGATAATTATCTAACAAGTGAGAACTTGCAACCCCCTGCGTTTGAGGTAAGATTACAATTAATTGAAAATGAAAAATCAGATTTATTGTTTCGTCATTTGTACCGGGTAATCAGTATAATCTTATATTAGTCACAATCGTTATCTCGAAACTAGGATTTCCAAAGAAGTTTACGTTGTAATTACTTCGTTATCGAGTACTCTAATTATTATATGTATGAAAATTTCAGGGTAGATTTTCACCCGACGCTTACGAGCCACTGGCGAAGCTAAGAGTTCTAAACCTAGCGAATAACGAGCTCCATTCATTGCATCAAGATCTCTTCGAGCACATGTCAGCCCTTAAAGTACTGAATCTCTCAGGGAACCTATTTTCCAAAATTGATTTTACCACCTCTATCGCGATTGATTCTATCGTGGAATTAGAAGAGTTGGATTTAAGCTATTGCGGTTTGAAGTCACTTTCGGATACACATTTCTACTCCTCTTTCAGGTGAGGCTTTAATCTTCAAGCAATGCCATTAATCCTTTTTTACTTATAATTAATGAAATTCCCAAAAATTAGAGGTCGTCGTATTACTAATCTCCAGGTAAAAAAATTTAAGTTTCAGTTCCTCTGACAGCCGGTATTAAATATAATAGTACCTCGGTATACGTCCTATTTGGACGTGACAAATTTTGCTCGGTATACGACATCAATTTTTTGTATGAATTTTGCGTCATCTTTAAATAATTATCTCGGAGGAAAATATTTTTTTTTTTAATGTATTAATTTACAATCTGTCGTAAAGTGACAATAAGTAAATTTGTTAAATTATTAACTTCCCCAGTGGTTAGTACTCTTGAATAAAAGAGGAAAAATTAATGGTAGGTATAATAGATATCAATAAAAGTCTTTTTTTACTTTTATATTAATTCTTATGGGAAAGGTTGATTTGTACTCCTTTTGCTATAGTAATGATTAATGACTCGATTACTTTCCATCAATGTTAAACTAGAGATATAGAGCTGATTAACGATCGATCGCAATACACTGATAAGAAGCGTCAGATATCGTTATCTCGAATTTCCGCAGAAGAAAATATAGAGAATAAAACAGCAGATTTATTTGTTATTCAGAGTCCTTAAGAAGTTGAATTTGAGCGGGAATCAATTTACTGCTCCCCCGAGTGCGCTCGAAGAGGCTAAGACGCTGAAGTCACTTTATATGGACGAAAATCCGATGCAAATTATAAGTGGTACCCAGTCGTTTCCGCGTATGCCCAATTTGACCGAGCTGAGTCTTTGCTGTATGCCTCATTTGACGGTGATCGGAGCGGGTGCCTTTTCGGGACTGAGGGCGCTCGAGCACCTCCGAATTCAAAATTGCCCGAAATTGGAAGCGGTCGACGGGTATGCTCTCGCAGCTCAGGTATATTAATTAGATATTAAAATGAATATGAATTGAAATTTTCTCGCGTAAATATTTATATGCAACCGATAAGGTCAGACCCGAATATAGTGCCATTCTCGCGCGGCATCACCTTTTTTCCCCAGGAATACCTGATTCGATCGCGAGCGTACATCTTTTCATTTTTTAAATATTTTCATTTGAATTCGATGCCATTGGAATGTTCACAATGGAGGCGACGTTTATTGAACGGGCGAAAGCATAAACCAGGCAGCAGTGAATAAGAAGTGAGGGATCGTAAAAGGTGATATTATGCTTCGGAAATGATTGCAGACGGAGTCTGAGGGACCGATGTGGCCGCCGCTGAAGAAACTAGATTTATCGGATAACGCTCTGCGATATTTGCCTGAGCACTTCGTAGCTAGGTGGGACTGGCTCGAAGAATTGGATCTGATGAACAACAAATGGAGCTGCGATTGCAATAATCAATATCTGGTAAGTTCTGGCAATCACGGTATACACGGTTCCCTATACCTGAATCGGCCGTTCGTATCGAACCGGTATTGATTTTATCTACCAATAACGCCAATTTGCCGATTCCTCCCTACGATTGTTCGCGACTAATAGGTGGATGGAATTTTAAAATAATTGTTCATTGAAAGGAAAAAAAAAAAATTACAGTTCAGAGCCTCGATTCTAGAAACTCTTTCAAATGAAAGGGTTAAATGTGTAAAAAGGTTAAAAAATTAATATTTCTTGTCCCGTTTGATTTTAGATCCGGATGCTATTGCCGCAATACGGCAAAAAGCTAATGGGAGATGACGTTAACTCGCTCACCTGTACCGAGCCACCGGAACACCGAGGGAAGAAACTGACGTCGCTGTCGAACCGAAACATCCGTTGCCTGGACGTGAACGGAGCGCAGCCTGAGAAAGACGCGATGGTTCTGGTCGGTGTGTTGATCGGTGTGATGCTCGCCATCCCCGTTTGCCTGACGATATTCATTTTGTGGCGTCGCGGCTTCTTTTTCTTCGGACCGCAAGGACCGGCGGACTTCTCTCGTGCCTTCTACAAAAGAACCGCCAATGACGACGACTTCTGACGTGTCTCTCCCATGAATTTTAACAGAAAAATCTAGTCGATAAAAAAAAAAAGAGGAAGAGAGGAGAAGTAGATTCTTAGAAGCGAAAACGTTTCTTTAATCCGATAGACACGATTGCAAACAAAGTGTTTCGTAAGATTTCGCAATAATGTTCAGTAATGATAAGAGAGACGGTATCAGAGTTTGTTTAGAACTGAACAGTTATTTCAACAATGTTATGTTTATACGTTGTATCCTCGACGATAAATCCGCGTTTGTATTTTATTTAATCAGTCACCGTAATTTTGTAAATAAAAGGTCAATAAACACATTGTTTCTATTGCAAGATTTCTTTCCCTGCTCCAAATATTGGCAATTTTTGTTCGTTTTATTATTGTTATTAATCTATTCAGCGAGGCATGGTAGTTCCAGTGTTTACTACCACTTTTTGTTTAAACGGAATGCAGGGAAAAATATTGGAAAAATGGAACTCGCGTTGTTGTTATTATTGCCAACTGAAAAATTCCAGCTCCTGTTTCAGAGAAACTTTCATTTTGGAAATTTGTTACCTAGAATTTCCTTTGACTCCTTTATCGTCAAGTTATTCCCTTACAACGTCGGTCACTGCTGACCTCGTAGCACTAAATTCTAAAATAAAATTATCTGAATACACCAAGCGCTTAATAGATCCCCGTATTTGGGGCTCTGAGCGTCAGATGATCTCGAGGACTTTCCAGCAAGGAATTACCAAACGCCTAATCTATCCATGTTCCTCATCAAGGGATGAAACGAATAGCTTATAGTTACCGACGATTATCATCGAAATGATGACGGGAATCTTGTTCCTTTTTTAGCCTAACAAGTCTCTTGAGATGGTTTGTTTAGGTTGGCTGTCGTCAGCCGGAAGGGATAGTTTCGACAGCGTTAAGCTTGCGGACGGGTTTTTGGCTTTACCTCTTCGGCATCGAGGGTTACGGAGGTTCGTGGACCGACGAGGGAGCGACGGGACGCACGAACGGACACGCGTCGGTAACACAATTACCAGGACGTTAATTTACTCAATAATCGCGGAAGCAACCCCGTCTAAATGCCGGCACGCGCCTCATCCTCCCTTCTGCCCGTCACCAGAGGCCATCTAATTCGGGGGGATGAAATACGGCTCCGAGCTTCGCGGATGATTGCCAACGTTTTACTAAACAGCTCGCAATGCGATAGGTGAAATATTTTATAACCGGTGGGCGCGTTGCTGATTTTGATTGATGGGAATCAAACTTTGAATCTTAGAATTTGAAAATTTGAAATCTTAGACCAGTGAGAAGATCAATCTCCGTTTAGCTAATTTATTTTGCTAATATAATTGCTAATAAGAATCAAACTTAGGATCTTAGAATTCAAAAATTTGGAATTTTAGAACCTTGTAATCTTAGAACAGTGAGAAGATCAATCTCCGTTTTGCTAATTAGCCACCTCACTCTAATCATCTTAGAGATAACAATTTTCTATACCTCCTAAAACTATTTACGATCCTTAATAATTTCGTGGATCGAAAGCTGACCTATGAGAAACACCTATCCCAAGTGTACGTGGGTGTACAGTAGTGTACACCAACACGACGATTTCGAACATGCTGTATACATCGTCCGATAAGTAATCTAATCCGGTGCTCCTCCTGATCCGCATTCTCCACCCTTTCAAGACTCCATACAGATGTATTGACTTGCGAAGAGCTTTCGTATACCTCGACGAGAACGAAGGATCAATACCGACGAGATAAAAAAAAAAAAATATGAAAGAATAGGGAAAAAAGAGGAAGCTGATAAAACAACAAACGAAAAGTTCCATTCTTCATTGGAAATTCATTTGCACTCGATGAAAATACAAAGCAGCGTATTTGATTGAAAATAATTAATCAGTGGATTGTACAGAATCGAATAGAATAAAAGTAAATGAATTTAGTGAAAAAGCTAGGTCAACCCGGTATTCTTATTTTCAACACTTCAACCGCTGTGTAATAAAATTAAATACCATTCCCGCAAAGCCAATGGGCGTAAACTTTCATATTACAGAGTGCATTGTAAATTCATGTATCGATGAAAAATGAAAAAATGTCAAGGAATTTAAAGAAAATATTTATACGAAGTTCATTTCCACTCTAGACAGTCTAGACAAGCAAGCACCTTCGCGCCGAAATCGTTGGACGAATCTCTGCTACCGGTAGGCGGAAGAAAAAGAGAATAAATAGAATTTAAGCGGTAAGAGAAGGTAGCTGAAAAGCTACACGCGTGAACAGCCGTGATCCTGTGTCAGAACATGCAACAACATGGGGTGAACCACGGATATAGGACTCCTCGCCGCCTCACACCACCCTTCTCCCTTTCTCTTTCACCTCTGATTCGAGGGGTGATCCGTGAGGTGATTCTGATGCACCCTCGGCATCGTGTCCATGGTAACGGTGACGGAGGTCCCGCCCCCGGTGATCCACGGGGCCAACCGTGGCGACGAGTAGCGTCGGGACGCCGACCAATACCGACCGTAGTCGAGCCTCGAATATCCGGTCCGAGGTTTACTCTTCTTGACCAGTTAGAACGGCTGGAGGGTGGAGATGATCGCGCGGGGGGTTGAATCGCCTTGAATCGCGCACCGATACTCCCTAAACGTACACCGAACGACGCTATACTCCGGCCACTTTTCATCGTCGACTTTCCCGTCGGTTTCTCCGGCCTGGTCTCAATTCAATTAGAATTTTACGGGACTCGTTGAACGCGCCAAAACGACCTCCAGTCAGACATTTTCAATGGTGACGTTTCCTCGTGAATTCTGACAAACCTTCCTCCTACCAACGGATACTCTTCAGGGTGTACCGTCGACTTGTTCCGAGATATCCATGAGAATTTTTCATTTCTAAGTGAAGTGTCGGTGAACGGGTTTCGCTTAGGATACGTGTACGGTTTTCATCTGGAAGAATCCTTCGTTTGGAGTACTTGGTAACAGTGAACGATCAATCCCTTTACTTCACCTTTGTCTTCGGGGTTGATTCGTGAACAGATAGTGAGAGTGTCTATCAGTGGTTACAGAAAGCTTGGAATCTGATCGATCACAATCGTTTGACTATAAACGAGATGATTATGATGATGATCATGATGATTATGTGGTTAGTGAAGAGTACGTGATGAAGATTCCAGTGATATGTGCTGTTCTGTGATAAGAATGTAACCAGATTGACTTGAGAATCGAAGGAAAGTCTGTTTGAAAGATGCAGTCGACTTGTCAGCAACAACAGGCTCAACCGGGTCAAAATGGGACCTCGGCTAGTAGAACGTCGTTCTTGATCGAGGACATTCTGAGCCGCAGCACAGCACAACCGCACTCCCCTCATCATCAACCTTATCATCAACATCTAACGTCCAATCATGGTGTGCAACATCAACAATACCAGCAATTCGCTAGTTTATTACCTGGCTACCATTCGGCACCACCTACAGCTGCTTTCTTTTTGGGACCACTTTTTAGTAACACTGCTATGGGGGTCGGAGTGGTTCCGGGGGTTAGTGAACTGGCGGCCTTGAAACACTGCCGTCGACGGAAGGCAAGAACAGTGAGTAATGTTTAATATATTTTGATAGGTGGTTCGAGATTTTTTTTCTTTTAATGTGCTTATCGATAACCATTCACGAATTAACAAACGAATCTATCCTTCGGGTTGTATTTAGGTGTTCAGTGATCAACAATTAGCGGGTTTGGAAGCTAGATTCGAGGTGCAGAGGTACCTCAGCACCCCGGAAAGGGTCGAGCTTGCGGCGGCACTTCACCTCTCGGAAACCCAAGTGAAAACGTGGTTTCAAAACCGACGAATGAAGCACAAGAAACAATTAAGAAAATTGAGCACAAGCGGAGGGAGCAACGGGAATCAGAATTCTAATCAGCAATGCACCGGTCAATCTGTTTCCGTCTCATCGCCGGCGGGTAAGCAAAAATAACACCAGTCTATAATTTTTTATTTTTGATAATTTGTATTAAAAAAATTAATTGCATTGTATTAACCCTTGGACGACGGACCACGAAAAGTGCTCCAATTTTTGTTCAAGGGTTAAAAGTCTATTGTAATCAAACAATATCGAATAAGGAATAATTAAAAAGAAAAGAATCGAATTTAAAAAATAATGAAATACAAGATGATAATTCTAAATGATGTTATAATCGATAAAATGGAAAATCAGCCTGGCGCTTAAAATTTTCACGCATCGCGTCGGTAAATGCAAGCGTTTAATTGCAAATTGCAGAATCTATGCAATTTCGTATCCGCGTCACAATGTGTAATTACCACTAAACACGGGTATCGACTTTTCGATAAACAGTGTACACACACACACACACACGCGTTCATTCCCGTTGCTTCGCATCAATTAACTCGGATTAATAACACGATGTGTCCTACATGATCAACTGCTAATAAATCATATCGGTGATTTTCATGTAAAAACTAGGATTGCATTTTTGCGATAATTGAAACGTTCAATTATCTGCAAAAAGTGATCCGTTTAATAAAATGTTTCAATGCTTACTAGTTCGACGCTATAATTCAAGTCAAACAAGAAGTTTGATTTGAATTGAAAATTAAAGTTACACAGAGAAATTATGAATCTTCAATTAAAAAAAAAAAAAAAAAAAAAAATACTAAAATTTATTCTATTTAAAAAATAAATGACACTCCATTTGGAGCTAAGGGTGCGTTTCATCCCTGAAAGGGTTAAAACGATCGACAACTGTTTTCGATTTAACTTAATTGATCGAGCAAGTATAATAATCTCGCGGAAAGTAGATGGTGGCTTGTGTATCGCAATTAAATCGTTATTAGTATAAACTTCGTAATTGCGATTATCAATTTGCATTGGAGCGCGGCTACCGCGTCGGAATTTCCGTGTACGTCAAATACTTCCCTGTTATCATGCTAATGGACCATATAATGCAACCAAAATTCGGCTGGCAATAAATTACGCAACTTCGGTTAACTAACCAGACTATAACCGAGCTAGCAGCAACTATAATGATTAACTAACGTTGACCCCGAGATAATGATCGCTTTTTGTCCTACAATTCCCCGCAATTCGTATCTCCTTTAATCCTGTTACCGCGCATAGAAGCAGTACATTCACGATCAAATCAAGCTTCTTCGGGAAGAAAAATGGCGATGCAGAAGAAGCGGAAATACGGGGAATTTTAATATTAAAAGTAATTCGGAAGAAAAATAATATAATTTAATATATAGTTAAAAAAAAAAGAAATCAGGACTCTGTTTGAGAAAAAATATTAAAATTGCCTTTTATCGAGTAATCACAATTGCTCGTGTTAGTTAATAGAGGTCGTTACAGAGGCTGCGACATCATCGAATTAGAATATCAATAATAACGGGAAAGGAGTAACGGCGGCATGCAAATACACCGTAGATTGAACAATAATTGCCGATAACAGTGTCACTTTGTGCACGTACACTGTACAATGATCTGTGTACGATCAACGTGGTTATAACGTAAATGCTACGATCGTGTAATTAAATCAACTTGTTCGCGAGAACTGATCGAGAGCTATCAGAGAACTTGATATTCGCTAACGAAAATATTACTTTTTAATGATATCTCGTTTGTAAACAAATTCGACTCTCAATGAAACCGCGTTTGATTAATAAATTAAATTAATCATCATCGTATTCATAATTCGATATCGCTATTAAATTAAAGATTTCTTATTAAATTATTAAAAAGACTTGATAACCGAAAAATCAAAATTTCACCTGTGTCATCAATGGAGGGTAAAAACAACCCCGATATTTTTAGATTCAATTATTTATGAAAAAAATAATTCGCCGGTTAAAATATGAAACGAAATTCAATTCGATTATTTTTCTATATCATTGTTCGTGAAAATGATCAGGCTGCGTAGCCGAAGGGGGCACGATCCCAACTCACCCCCTCGTCTTACACCGCATCTACTCATAACCTTCGACAAGTTGCTCGTCTCGGTAGCCAAGATGGCTTCGGGTAGGAAGGGCTAACGAAGTTAGTAGACATCTCCTTGGCAGCGAAGAAGAAGAAGGGGGATGTAAGGGGTGGAAAGCACGTAGAAGATGAGACCGCCTAGTCGTCTGGAGACTCGAACGGATACCATCTAAGGAACCCAGGAGACTTACAGCACCCCTTGCTTCGTCTTTCCCCTTCTCGTGCTTCCCACCCTCTCGGTCATACCATCCCCCGTTCTTACCTCTTGTCTTCTCGATTCGGTCTTCGAGAAAATTAGTCAATTATCGGCTAAGTGCTCGGCCAGACCTACATTCGCGATTGCACGCCACCGAGGTCTGGCCAGCTTCTTAACTGTGTATCACCACGTATCTGACCCAATTTAATTCGGTTGATTGGTTTTTGAAAAGAAACAAAAAATAGAAACTTATACATGATTCCGTTTATTAATAGGACTAACTAGCAGATGCCTGAAATTCCTGATACAATTCCCAGCGGATGTCCTATCTTGCTGCGGTTGAATTTCTCTCGTTTCGCTATCGCGTTTCTACCGTTCACTATTATTGCATCGGTGCTTAATTTTACTACCCGTTAGCGTAAGAGCGTAGCTAAACGGAAACACTGGAATTGTAAAAGTACACAAAACGAATAAATTTGTTCACAGAAAGACCAGTGGATTTCTCGTTGAACGGGGGCCGAGAATCTAGAGCGAGCAGCGACGCACCGATCGACTCGGACGACGATGAAATCGACGTTCTAGGCGACGAGACACCGTCGCCGACACGAAATAATAATATTCACATGTCCAGACACAATGGTTCACCGACGAGTTTTCATCAAATCACGCACCCCCATTCGGTTACCCTGTCACATCAACCAGGACAAACTATTCAACGTCAGCATCGCTGAAACCAATTACTCCAAGGATACTATTCCTTCGGAAGTAAAATAATATTTTAAATGTACCTAAGCGTACAAGAAACGACAGACTTGGAAAAAGAAGTTCAATAATTTAGTGAACAGTGAAAAATAATTTGGATCTTATCAAAGATTCTCCTTATTTATTTAACGTGCAATTATAGTTTAAAGAATAATTAACTTTATTAAATGTATAGCTATTCTTTGTGCAAATTAAAAAAAGAAAAAAAAACTGTGGTGGATTTACAAAAGTCAGACACATTTTGTAAAGACAAATTCTTCTTCAATTATTCAAATTCTTGGTATATTTAACTTTTTATTAACTACAATGTGCACCTGCGATCAAATCAGGCTTTCCTAGGAAACCTGGTGGTGCCCCGTGTTCCTACCTTCCCGGTAGGCATCCGCGGGAAGAATGACAGCCTAGCGAAAGGGGCCCTATATATATAGACCTGCGGCGGACCGCCACTTGCATACTAACATTCGCGCGGGAAAGTTTGAATTAATATCAACTTTGTAATTCGTATTTCTCAGTTATATATTAAATTCTATAATATTTAATAATTAAAAGCTGTATTATATTTTATATATCGTCAGAATGAAGAGTCTGAAAATCCCTGCTTCCTTTAAATCACCATTTTCCCTAGGGAAGGCTGATTTGATCGCGAGTGAACCATCAACTGTGTCATAAGTGTATAAAACCAAAAAATAGAGTCGTAAGGAAGAAAACATGTTTCCCTCCTTCTTATTGTTCAATTATCGAGGTGGTCAGTGAATCAAAGAAGATTGTGATGGAAACAAATATCGACGAGCGGTATTGTAAAATATGAACGATGTAAAATTTGTTAAGTGATTCGCGAGCAAGGATAATGTAGAAAATTGTAAACGTGTAAATGACTGTCTTAATGATCACTCGTGATACTTTTTATAGCGAAATGCCGTAATAAAGCTAGTCTGTTTCGTGTCACTTTTTATAGCGAAGTAGAAAGTTAGCTTGTGGTTCGAATTGAGATTAAAATGTCACGATGTAAGAATCAAGTGTACGCATACATTTTCCCTTTCCTCATCTACATTATTCCAGTCATTAATATTCGTAAAATTAATTAATTTCAAATTTGAAAAAAATATAAAATATCTCTAGTGCAAGTTGATTTTTCTCTATGGTTAACGAAGAAGGGTGACGATTGACATTTATGGCGTTTCGGGTCAAGAACCATGATCCTGCTTTTCCTGCAACATTATCGCTCCACTAATTGGCGACGTGACATTTATTACACGTTTGGGACATTTTCGAAGCTTAACTCACTTCACCGACCAAAGCCAGCTAAAGAGCAATTAATCCGGACTTAATGTCCAGCGCCAAGGATCACCCGTTTAATCACCGAACCATGACTCATACGTCAATCTTTATTTTGTATAATTAAATTTTCAAATCGTATAAAAATTCAACATATTAAAAAGATAAATTAAATATTGAATTTTCAATTTGTATCAAGTTCAATCTGAACAGAAGACACTTTGATTGATCCTGATTATGGATCAATAATGAAATCGATGCCCGAAGGAGAACTCCTTTGCTACCTGTTGCCAAAACATTCGAAGCAAGTGGAAGTAGAAAAGAAAGGGATATTGCGGAGCAGTGACAGACAGAACATTTTCAGTGAAGCAGGATAGAGGCGGAGTCTGTGGAACACGTCGTGCTTCCAGTTGGGGTGAATCCTAATACCCAGATAATGGGAAGTAATTGCGAGGGATCAGAGCGAGCGTAGCTACTCTCTCGGTTCAGGAGCGTACATAGACCGGAGGGTGGAGGTGTCGGCGTTCTCATCCCCCTTGCGGCACTGGAGATTCGTGGGGAATGGGGTGGATGAAAAGGACGGTCCAACAGAGACGCACACATACACGAATTGACGGAGAGAACTGGTGGAAGCGGTAACCCGGAGGGAGAGAGACAGAGGTCTATAATTATATTATCGAGGCAAAATCACGGCGCACATTCTCAAATGCACCCCGGATGACGCTGTTTTGCCAAGGAGGATCGCGAACACTCGGCTTCCTTCTGTGTTATCTTGTTGCGAAACTTTCGATCGAACGATTAAGATTTTCATTTAGGAGAGAAAATGAATTTTCTCGGGCAGTACAGGTAGTTAAAAGAAGCAGAAGGGTGTTAAATTTAACCCTTGTGGATCGAAATGGCAATCCAAATTCCAAAAATTTTGGAACCTTGGATTTTACAATCTTCAAATTTTTTAATATCGAAACTTTAGAAGCTCAGAATGTTAGAATTGCGAGATGGGTCGTGCCCAACCCGGCCCCCCGTTTTCAACAATTTTCTTATCAACGCCTAAACTAAAGATCTCTAAAACTTTCAATTATTAATCATGATCCTCAACGCCAACAGCTTCAAAATAATCACAAAGACCATCATACAGAAAATATTTCCTTTGATGTATACAAAAGGAGCAGAAGAAAGGGGGAAGGATTTAATATCTTGACAAAAGCGTAGCACCGGACGCTAGGAGAAGCAAGTAGTAGCTTGTAAACTAATGAGATCATGGTGGTCCATTTATGACGTTTATTAGATTTCGTTAAGACGTCTGTTATTACAGTACGTAAATAAAGGGGGAAAATTCTCACCCGTTCCCGGCGAAGGGAGAGCCGGAATGCGGCGAAAATAATGAAATAAAAGACAATGAAGTGGCAGGTACAATAGCGAATGGGGCCTAGGACGGATGAGAATGAACAAGGCGGCGAGTACAGAGAAACCTAGAACGACAAGCGGGGGGTTGAAACCGGCTACAGGGGGTAGGTAGGTGAGCGGGCTAAATGCAGTGGGCGTGTTCCCATTACTTTCATTATTTTTCGACATAGGGGTTCGGCACCGATATGCGCAGCACAGGGTGCCATAGTCTGTTAAATGCAAGGGGTGCTTTTCAATCTACCTGCCACCACTTGTGTGTATCGCTATCGAGTTAACGATGAGGTCAACCCTTCCGTCGTTAACACGTTCGCGGTTACATTTTTTTTTAGAATTTTCCAAAAAAATTTCATTTTCAAATTGATCGAGTTCGAACTAAAAGTTAATGCCTCGACTAAAATAAGGGGGGTGAAATTTGTTAACGGAAGGCTTTGAGGTTCGCTTTGTTTTTAGATGAAAAAGAAATTTATTCACCACTAACCTGGTTTTATTTGGTCGCAACGGAGATAGGAAAATTCAACCATTTTACAAAACTAAATTTTCAAACGTAGTGGTTAACTTTGGACCGACCCTTGACGAACACAGCATCTGCAAATAAAAAGGGAAAATTCATTTTTATTTATTTTTTTTTTTTAAATCACACGTTAAATTGAACCCATTAAGGGTCATAAAGTGTATCGCGCAGTATGCGTAAGGCACATCAAAGGGGAGGAAATGATCGAGTGCACCCTACCCGTGTAATAATCCAAGCAAATCAAATTACCTTCCTAAGCAGATAAGATCAATGAATGTCTACGGGAAAGATCAATGAAAGTTTATAATCGGTGATGCTTTTGATACATCAACACAGAGTAGTTCTCCCTTTGTTATATTAAGGTTAATTTAAATAGAAGAAATTTCCAAATCTTGAAGAATTGAAGGCAAACAAACTCGTATAGGAGAATACGTAATCTTGGCAAGTTAAAGCATTGATGGGGTTGAAAGTTTGCAAGCAGCGGTTTAGAGAGACGGTAGGTAGTGTTTTGCTAAGGGGGTGGAAGCTTCTGTTCCCCGTAGATTTATTCGGAGGGTTAGTTGAGACCCATGGATTGACATGCGGCGACGTCTTGACAGCTTGTTAGGCTAACGGTTGGCTGCCGTTCATCGAACACGATGCGCTTCAGCCTCTTTACCGGTCTTTAGCTTGACATTTCACTTCTGATTAAACGTTATACCATTGTCTGCTCCTCCATCTTTCTTTGTTGCGTAGCGACGCAAATATGACTGTTCAACTAAGAACTAAGTGATCTTGATTGCAGTTACTCATCTTATTAATTCTTGAATGAATTTGGGAATTTAAATTTGGTGCCAAAAAATACATTTTCAAAGCAGTTTGTTGTGAAAGAAAATTTAAACGTGCTAAAAAAATAGATAGAAGAGAAGGGAAGTCAGCCCTGGCTGAAATCTCAAGAAGCGAATACAGGAAGAAAAGGATCAGGGTCCAAAGAGTAGGAGAGACGGATATTCGTGGTGGAGGGAACAGCATTACTGTCCACGTGCCGTTTAACTTGATCACCCTGGCCAATCTGGCCTCATTTCAACCTCCAGTTACTACGACACTTCCGCTAACAAATAACATTGTCAACGACCCTGCGGGGGCGTTCTGATTCGATTTGTACACTATGAAAGCGTGCTGCTCGACAGCCGCTGACGGAATAGAGATGTTCCTCGATCGACAAAGACACACGAATAAAAGAAAGGAGAATACAAAAAAGAGGGAATAGAAACAGCGAGTTGTATACAGAGCGTTAGAAAAATTCCGTTTTTCTTTCGCGCCTGGAATTATGCTTCCCTATGGGTACCAATAATTAATGATACGCAACGTTACGTCATCTGGACCATCGAAATTGAACACAATTATTCTAACAATTATACAACTACTGTGTATGTACCTGATAAAATGACTTTTCTATCAAAACGGAAGGAAAGGAAAAATTCTCATGAACGTAATAATAGCACAACGTGCTGGAAAGCACGGCTACGGTCTAATTAGTCCGGTTATTTAGTTAGGCAACAGAGATGCGACAAGTTTACCTCGGCCGTTCGGTGCTAGAACCACTTAGAGATTCGTATCTCCAGGACGTGTTTAAAAATAATTACCGTGGAAGATTCAGCGATAGTCACGGAGTCGCCCTCACCTTTGTGCACGCTGCCCTCTGAAGTGGTCCTCGTTGTTACGGCATAAAGGCAGTCCATGCAACCCCCTTCTTGTACGTCCTACCGTCTCTTCCGGCACCGCTCGAGTGGTCCTCACCTTTCAACCACTCTATCACCCCGTTTAAAGAAGTAAAGACCAAAGGTCCTTTACCGTTTTAAGAGGTTAGACCGGCTCGAATAGGAGTTTATTCGCGATGACAATGTGACGCGGGTACACCGTTGTCCCCCTTATTAAATCACCGATACACTGGCCTCGCTTTATACACCGAAGACGAAACATCGAGTGGATATCGAATTCACCGTTGAATCGAGCCACAAAGATAGGATAAAGAACTAAAGACCACAGGTTTTTCACAGGTTTAAAGTGTTACTGTGTTCTATACACGACACACGGCACAACGTGTTCGCGGGCTTGCCAAATTGGCGGGAAATTCGTACACGATCATGAACGTACGAATACGTAGACGAGACAACTAGCGCGTATGATGTAACGAGCATTCGCTATGCCACCTATCAGCAATTTCTGTAATTAAATTTGAATTCAAATTATTGTCAAATCATACAAATTTAATTATCAAAGTAAAAGAAGAATGATTATGGACAAATTACCTTAACACCTTAAACACTGTCCTAACCAAGAGACAGGTTTTCCATAGAACACAAGAATCAGGTTGATTTCTCCAATATTTATAGTATTTATATTTGTTTACATATAATTTTCCATATATTATAATTATAATTGTAGTAGGCAAAACAGTAGTATCGTTTAATAACAGAACAATCGTACGACGAAATACAACTAAAAAAAGACAAGATAGTAGAGCGAAGTAGAAGAGAGAAAGGGGGATGGAAATAGAAATACGTCCAGTTCGACGAACGGTGGGTATTCAACGCTTAAAAACAAGATTACTATTAGCCCATTTTTGCAACTACACTGGAGGAGGATTAGATTTCGCTTAGTTTTTCATAGGAAATGTTATTCTCTAGTAGGCGCCTGTTACTTATTTTTTTTCTTTTTTTTTTTTTTTTTTTTGTAGTTTCTCTCCTTTGTTCTCAACAACCCTACAACTATACCTAATTTTATATCCTTGTATAACCGCGACAATCTCAAATTATTAAAAAATATACATCCTACGTGTGTACCGTTATTGCGCATTGTATTGTGCAGAAGTACTCTCGTAAATAGATGTATCCTCGAGGTTTTTATTTCTTGTATTAGGCAATTACCTGTTTAATATGTATAATACCGCTAACTAGGCCTTTCTCCCTTAATTACACTTGGTATCCAGGGAAGCAGCTATCGAAGATCTTTCTTTAAATACTTTGTTTCATTTTTAATATTTCTAAACACGATTCTTCACTCTTAGTCTGTCTTTGGGGGAAGCTAATTACTTGTGCATGCATATCATTTTTACGGGTTTTCATACACGCTTACGATTCACTGACGAGCATCAAACAGAAGAATAATTATTCATCATCATCGGCAAGATAATCAAGCATTGATCATTTGACTTATCTGATGAATGAAAAAATAATATTTTTTTTTTTAAGTTTTGTATGTAACTAAAAATTATTTTTCATAGTAAATGCATTAATATTCTAACAGACGGTAATGTTTTTAATACTTAAAATGCAAGTACAACTTTGAACACTAATAATACTAATTAAAAAGTACACATATTTTTCTCATGGAAATGTAAATTAGAGGGCAGTATCGAATGATCATTGCTCAATCACGAGTTCATCATGGTTCAATATACAAAATAAGACGAAGATTAAAAGAAAAAAAAAAAAAAAATGAAATGAAGGAATTGACGATACTACCGGAACAATTTGCAACGCTTAAAACGCAAATTGTTACAGTCTTTCAGACGCGTGCCATTGAAACGTTTATACTTCGTTACAGCGTTGAATAAGTTTTTTCGTGAATGCTTTAACAAGCCATCACGCGTACACATCGAACAAGAGAAATTCTAGCGATAAAGAGCGTTTCCGACAATAGGAATAATCAACTGTATAGATTATTTAATAATCATCCATATTGTTCGCAATCTTTCAATTATTACAATTCTATACGCGTTGTCTCGACATTTTAATGCTCGTGACACATTTTTCTTTTTAATCTCTCACTCATCGTTATCATCGTCACAGCAAACGTTATAACATTCATAAAAAGAAAGAAAAAAAAAACATTATCTTGAATTTTCAGCACACCATCGGGTAAGATATTGTTTTTTTTTTCGTTTCTTTTTTTTTTCTTTAAAGGCTCTGTGCTTGGTCGTCGAGTTTTGCTTTTTCTTGTTCGTTTTACCAGAAAAAAGAATAAGAAATATGTTACATCTTGTACACTACGATTCGTGTTATAAAAAAATACAGAAAACCGCGAATCTGGCATGTAAAATTCTGAACGATATTGAAAACGTGTTCGCGCTTCTTGCAAAACAGATCCTTTTTTCTTTTGAGCATCTTCAGGATTATGAATAGACAAACACGGATGAAAATATACAGTGTGACGTCTTTCTTATACTTTTGATTATTGTTCGTAGTTGAAAGAACAAGATGCAGAGATCGCGATTCGGTTGAAGATAAAACGAGCTTCCATTTTATCAACTTTGTCATTTATCCGACCTTCGAAACGACTGAAAGTCATTGGAATCGATGGTGATCAATTCTTGAACGATATACGGGGTGCCTTATGGATATCTTCGATAATTATTATTTATTTTTTTTTTTTAATTGTCAAGAAATGATCCTTGAATTTAACGAGCACGCGACATCGCGTGAGGGTAAATAAGACACCTCCGTTGAATGGCAGGAAGAAAAGAAATTGATAATCAAACTGAAGATATGAATACTAAACCAAAGAGTGAAGTAAAAAACGTGATCGAAAAAAGTTGTACGTATAAAAGAAACTATAAAAAATTGGAATTGGTATTTTATCCTAGTGGCACGAAGAAAGTATTTCTATCAAACTGAATTGCAAAAAATGAACAAAACCGATAGTAATCTTGATTTCAAGCAAAAACATCTTCGTTTTACACTGATAGTCAAACTAAAATATATAAATTAATATATTACATGTCGACTAAATAATTAGCATATACAAAAGAAAAACATGTTATAGATTGATCGTGGACCAGTCCACGACAAGAAAAAAAAAAAAAAAAGAAAGAAAATACATCAACGACGTGTATCGAATACTTAAGAAATAATACAGTGAAGATTGAATCCTAAAAATTAAGAAAAAAAAAAAAAAATGGGATGGGAAAATTTTGCAGTCTCTAATGAAGCACAAACGAAGATCCATCAAAATATACCAAAGATTCTAATCTAAAAATAAAACACGAAACATTAACGAGTATTCTAAACTTTCTCGACATCAATGACATCGCTAACAGAGTGTAAATATATTTTTAAAAAATCTCTAATTAAGTGCTATCTCAGCTGTGACAAGCTTGGAAAGGTATGTATAAAAATGAAAAGAGAAGAGAAACAAGAAGACGAATCAACAAAGATTCTGAGATACAAAAAGCGAGAAAAATGCTTGGACATCGATACACGCACCTCGTTATCATCGAACAAACGATCTATGATCGAGCGAAATCACGGTTCACGGTACATATATAAAAAATATTCAGTTCAATCAGCAACAAGGAAATTTACAAAAAAGGGAAGCGTTTCGATTTTAATTACTATAACCCAGCTATGCGAATCGAAGGCGTTCATTAAAACGTTCAAGTCCTTTGCACTTGTGTACTTCGAGCCTGCATCGAGCGAATATTTTTTTTTTTTTTACTTTTTTCTTTTTTTCATTTCATTCTAGAAATTGGTTTTCCTCTCGTGCAACACGAGCAGTACCATTAAAGTGTACGTACAGGATCTTCTGAGAAGTTTATGATAAATTTTTTAATATTTCATAATTATAAATTAAAAAATGAATCCATTCGATAACTGTAACTAACCAGACACGATTTAAAAAATATCAATTATAAAAATTCATATCATGAAAACTTCAATAATCTTACTCTAAATATGGGTAAAAAATTTCTTTAAACATCCTGTACGTATAATTACACGCCTCTTAAAAAATCACCATGACTAAAGAATCAGATCAACCATTACAGACAAGAGTATTTTATAAATTTGTACGTTTAAACTTAACTTCTCGATAAAATTTTCAAACAAGCCTACACAGCAACCGGTGGACAAAGGAATTTCGCGTGCAAAGGGTGGTTTTTCAAAAACGAATCGGTCCTCCCGATACCAACACACTCTGATACACGTCGATCAATTATGTAAATGTTCGATTAACAGAACAGCACGACAAAACGCATCTAAGGTTCTAAATAACGAGACATCTTTGGGAACGATAACAATAATAATAATAATAGTAATAATAATAATAATAATAATAATAATAATAATAATAATAATAATAATGGAAAATGATCCTCGTAATAACAATAACAGAAATAATCTAATTACGTATTAATCTCGATTAAGTAATAAATTAAGAACACACGTACGAATTATCGTCGAACTGTTCTGCTAAATAAAAAAAAAAAAAAACACAAAAAAAAACGAATAAACTTCTTTCTCGAACTCCTTTGAAAAGAAAGCTCACGTATCCTCTTCCTTCGTTACACTACTCGAATATTCGAATCTCACGCTTTAACCCTTTACACTCGAATATAAATACACACGTAAATAGAATCGTCACTTTAAAATATTTAAAAGATAATACTTGGAAAAATATATATATAAAGAAATACCTGAATGGCAGAGAAAGTATAACAATTTTTCTTTTTTTTTTTTTTTATAAGTATTATAGATCGGTGAAAAAGTTGATCGTTTGTGCATAACCATTTGTTTTCGAAATTGGACCTCGACACGCTTCTCCGAATGCTTGGAACTTTTAAAATTACAATTTGGTCGGATTCCCTACGATCTAATATAACATCGCTAACGACGAATTTCCTTTACACGGAACAATTTGAAACGTATCCGTTTCTAAATACTCGATTAAATCTACCGTTGTTTCAAGATGAAATATTATTATTGTTATCTCAAAGATAGATGGTATAATCTGAGAGCAAAGGGTTAAACGTAACACGGTGGATAGAACGAGCAGTTCTCATTGGAATCGTTAACAAATAATTCCCTTATACGACGCGACTTTCAGGCAATAATATGGTCGTCTAGATTCGACCCAGAGAAACTCTTTAGTAAATATTTTAATATCAATGCAGAGAGGGTCTAGAGGCTCTCTGTTTTAACCTAGCTAAAAGTGCCTGTTCACCGTCGTCCTCCGTCTTCGACAACATTCCTCGAAAGCTTTCCGACCTGTACTTATCCCTCAAGAACGTCCTTCTCTCCTCTTTGTACTTTTCTATTCGTTCTCTGCATTGAGGATCGCCCAGGTCCAAGCCGCCCAGATTCTTCAGATGACTTTTATCCGTGCTGCTGGAAGAACCGTTCGAACCAGAGCCAACATTCGGCGTCGAGCTATGCTGTGTATCCTCCATAGACTGTTTCACAGGAAGACGTGCTTCCTCTGTCATTTTATTGAATTTTGCTTCGTCCAAGGATCTACTTAGCGATGCTCGACTGGCTCTGGCATGACGAGCTCTCAAACACGGTGGCAAATGTTGAGTATTGTTAACAGCTGGTTCCTCGGATTTTCCTCTAGCAGAGTCCAACTCCTGTCTCATCTTTCTTTCGCGAACTATCTCTCTGCCTATTTCGGAATCGAAGCTTCTGCGATCCTTGTTGCTCTCAGGCTCGTACCTCTTTCTAGGAGGAAGGGACAAATCGCCGACCATACCGCCTGATAATCTTTGCAACGCCAACTCTTGCAGTATAGCAGCAGTGTCTCGAAGAACTATGGAATCATCGACCGGAGACGATGCGTTTGAGAAAGAGCACGACGAGTTGAGGGATGTTGATTCGGATGCACCTTCGGGGGGATGAGCCATCTCGCTTGGTTCCGCTGCGTTCTCCGACGGTATCACCACCTCTATATCCTCCTCTTCCAGTTGATTGCTCTTCAGATTGTTACATTGAGACGGTTTATCGGTACGAGAAGAGAATTGCTTACGCTGTTGACTCTTCTGAGGAGATTCTTTCTGAGATACGTACTCGTAGCTTTGGCACTTGTCTGGCTTTTGACAGCGTTGCTTGTTACTGTCGGAAAGGGGTAGCTCGAGGTCCTGTTTCTTGGTCGATTGGCTCGAGAAAGAACGTCGATCGGCGGCGACTTGGAATTGTGGCTTCTGACGCAGCTGCAAGGAACGTCGGATACCCTTTTGCTGGTAGTCCAAGCTCCTTGTAGAACGCTGAGAATTTTCGAATACCTCGTCATCGTCCTCCTCTGATCCCAGTACCTCTTCCTTTTTCATCGAGTTTTCGTTGAACGATTTAGTATCATCGAGTTGCGAGTAGCATTCGGTGGCCTCGTGATCCATTTCACTGGTTTTCTCGTTTCCGTTGTTCCGTTCGTGTACGATATTCGAAAAAGTATTCCCAGAATCGACTAAGCCGAAGCTCGTTTCGCTTTCAAATGCCCCGGATGATCTTTGCGCGGTACTCTGCCCCTCGAGTTCCCTGTTGTCAGCAACGTCGAAGGACATCTCTCCGGATTCCTGTGGTAGAACAGGACTCTCCGTCAGGTCGCTGACACCTATGCAAGATGTGTCCGTATCCACCGTCGAGCCCATAGTTAGATCCAACGAGGTTCTAGAAACATTCTCCGACATTGATCTTAACTGCGGCGTATCAGTGGCTATCGCAGGATTCACGGTTCCTTCCAGAGGATCCTTCGGACTGCTCGACTCGCTGGTTGGAGTGGTGATCGAATCGGTACCCTCCACTATCACCCATTCACCGGAATCGTTGGTGTTCGATGCGATCTGAGGTGTATCGGTGTTGGTGAACATCTTGTCGGAGCTATCGCAAATAACGAAGCCGGAATCGGGTAGATCCTCGATGGTCTGTTCGCAGGACATCGGAGAATCAAGATCGGTTAATTCGTTTCGAAGAGCGTTCGAATTTCCAGCCATGGCGTCGTTTTGCGAGTCGATCGACTTGTTCGTCGAGGTATCGTGTTTTCGTACGTCCAAAGTGTCTCTGCTGTCGTTGAGGGACTTGTTCTCCTCCATGTGACAAGAGTTTTTACACAGAGACGTTATTTTACTAGAGTCCATCTCGTTCGGACGAGACGTTAACCTATCGCAAGGCGTCATCTCTTGGTCAACTACGTCGGACATCAAATTCGACTCGTTCGATGTCTTCTGAGCCTTGGAAGACTCCTTGTCATCGTACATGTCCACGCGTTTGTCGTACGTAATTATCCTCTCGCAGGACTTTGCGTTACTCTGACCATCTATGTTTACGGATAACCTATGACTAGGGTCGGATGATTTATCGGAAGACACGCTAGTTCTGTTCAGCTTGCTCGCGTTGCTTTGATCGTCGTCGATCTCTAATGGTAAAGTGAAACTTCGAAAACTTATCCTAGGACTATTAGCCGGCACAGGCGACGTAGAGTGAGGCGTTCCGTGTAGGGTGGCCGGTGTCAGCGGTGTCGAGGCTTCGGATAATAAGGGAAGGTATCCCGGGGTTGGTAGAGGGGACGGGGTATCCATACTGTGCACATCCGCGGATACCATCACCTGTGAACATGGAATTAAATTTGTTAGCTTGAAAGTAGGTTTACGATGCGAATGGTACCAGGCTGAATTAATTACTTTACCTGATCAGGACTTTGGCTATCGATGAAGCGCAACTCAACGTCGCACTGCAGTCTTTCCTCCAATCGTGATCTCTTCCTCTTGGATCCACCGGTAGCAGCAGCACTCTGGGTTCCCTCGGTTCGTTGCCGTCGCGGTGACGCTTCGACCGACGCCACTCCGGCGCTCTCCTCTTCCGAGAACATTCGCATTTCTCTTTCCTCCAGGTCAAAGTTAAGCTGTATCTCCGACAGATCCAACGGCGACGCTGTATTCGGTGCGTCCGCTAGATGATCGAAATACGAATCATGCGAAACTGATCGACTGTGCCCACAGGGTCTAGCTGGTGGAGGTCCTAGAAGAGGACCTAAACTGTCCTCACCGTCCAAACTATCCGCACTTTTCACCGGTCTTAATCGCCGTAAGGAGTTTAAGGAACTTGGCACCGTTTCTGCTTGAGGTGGCGTGCCAACTTGTCTCGTCTTCCCTCTGGCACCCAGTCCACCTCTACCGAACAAAGCTCTCCAGTTCAACGATGGTGAACGCTTCGAGCCGTTTCTCTTTCGCGGTAATTCTATGACCGTATGGTAATGTAATGGTAACCCGGCTGGACCAGCGCCCACTTCGATGTAATCAGGCTCGCCTCTAAGGCTTCTGTTTCGTGCCTCCTCCAAACTGAGCAATCTCGCGGGCGTGGTAATGGCCAACGATTTTGGCCGACCGACCGGACCGTCCCCGAATATTAATTCCGCGTAACAGACTAAGAATTCCGTAACCACAGCTTGAACGCCAACGCCCTGCAGTGCTGCTACGCCTCCAACTTCGAGTTCCTTGCATCTAAGCAGATTCGGTGCCCACACGATTGCCACGTTACGCGGGGTCATGCCAGTCTCAGCGCCTCTGGCCGCGACTCTCACCAAATGCCGCATCAGATACTCCAACGTTCTACGACAAATACAAATATTTTCATTTTTTTCATTGCAAATGGTAAAAGTTTCTTTTTCCAACAATTACCTGTAATGCGGTGGTGGTAATTTTCTAACGGTTTCTCTCATTCGCCTCAATCTTTCCGCATCGGTACTGGCTTGAACCGCGCTAACGAACGTAGAATACAGCTGATACGTACAGAGGGGATTCGGTAATTCTCTAAAGTACATTTTCAATAGAGAAGCCACCGAATGGATGTCTTGCAGAATACTTTCGTCGGAATGCAACGCAGGGACACGATCCTCGTCAAAAGCGTTTCTTAGTCTTTGAATATTCGATGTTACACCGCTCAGACGGTATATACCGTCCACCAAGCCATGGTTCTCGATGAATTCAGCGCAACACGTTAATACAGTAGGCACTGGGAATATTTGAAAAAGAAAATAAACGTTAAACAGAGCAGTATACCGTTGAAGAAATATTACATTAACCATTACGAGGTCCAGTTCATTGTGTACATACATTCAATTTATGTTGAATGCGTTGAACACTTCCAGTTAGAAATCACAATTGGACCGTAAAGGGTTAAATGTCGGATGTGAAAAGTACCTGTACACGTACCATCTTGTCCGGAGTTCAAAAGATGTTCCCCTAAATCACAACCAAACACGCGTTCCTTCAGAATTCCTGACTGTTTCAGCCGTCTCCTAGACGGTCTGTTCAATATGAACGATCTGAAAAAAGCTATTAGCTTCCCGTGTTTCCTCAGTACTGGCTTAACCGGCAACTTCGATCTGACTGTCGTCGACACGGTCAAATGGCGTGGAACTTTGTCACCGATCACAGCCACGCATTCAGCCGGAAAGAAACCAACTGCGAATCCGTGCTTTCCACGCCACCAGGTGCTTTCCCCTGGAGGTGGCATGTCTATTACTGAAATCATGTCTCCAACCTGAAATTCATCAATCGTTAAACATTTCATATCCCACTTTTATAACTGGTAACGATTATACAAATAACTTTGAAATTTTTTTAATTCACTGCCATTAACACGGAAATGTTTAAGTTTCAGCTCCAAATTGACTTTCTAAATTTTGAAAATGGCCGCTCGATACGCAACGAACCTAATATCGATTACGAAAGCGATAGAATACCTGGAAGGAGATTTCATCCGGTGCCTGTGCCGCGTAAGGTCTAACCGCGTAAGCCGCGGCTACAGCAGGTGTATTAATTGGACAGGAATCCGATTCCGGCACGAGGATTCTTCTTCCTCTATTGTCTAGTTGCAGCCAATTCAATACCGGACCGCAATTTAGGCCTTCATGATTCAACTGGGAGAACCTGTTCAAATAATCCCTCAGTATGTCGCAGGTGTTTTTCGGCCGTGTGTCTGGAAGCTTCGCCAACGACGAGAACTTCCTGTCGAATATGCACCGATGCAGTTGCTTGTCGAACATCACGAAATTATCGTAAGATCGTTGCAGGGTCCAGCACGCGTCCCCGGATGTCACTCTGACCGCGTAGCTGTCTGAATCATTGGTGCCTTCGCTAAGCGAAACCTGCAGACAACACGTGATTACATTATCTTTAGAATGGTGTAAGGTTACTCGTTTTTAATTCTCAGACGGTGGCCCCCTGGTCAATCTTGAATTACCAAACCGGTGACAGTGATAAAAATTAACCAGTCAAATTTCCAAACGAAACGCAATCTCGTATGAACCTCGCAAAATTCCGAGTAATTAATATTATTTTTTTAAAAATTCTTTTAAGTCAAGCACCGCCGTCTGAGGATTATTCTCGGCAACTTTTTCAAGATTAAAAATAATGACTTTATTCACGAATGTAACTGACCTCCAAGGAACTGAGTTCAACATGTTCGTAATGAAAGTGGGCACACTCGTCCAATTTTGGAAAGCGTGCTATACTGCCCATGTTGCTGCCAGAACTGATCGGTGTACTGAAATCGTCCGTTCGATTACATCCTAATCCCTGTGTTCAATTAAAAATTTAACGATATCTATCAATTATCATAATCGCACACATTCGCACGCTCGCGCATACACACATTCACGATCCTTAGTACATTCGTTACCGAACCTGAGTGGCAACGAACGTGTAGACACTAGAACAACCAATTTGAAGATTTCAAATTTCTTTTTCGAATTTGAATTACGATGATTTTCTTCAATTTTAAAATAAATATACATTCAACGCCGGTTGCTCTAGTTACTAAAGATCGTTGAATCAACAAATTCTTCTCTAAAGAAAAAATAAAAATAAAATTTCTATGAAAAGAATTTTTCATACCACAAAGCGATCGACAGATTTATCGGCAATGATGAAAGCTGTACGAAATAAAACGCTTACATTTTCAATCTACTTTGAAAATAAACTCTACCAAATTCACACTGTATATTCGACAGCTGCTAACATTATTTCCAGCAGAAACACGTTTTTCTATAATATAAAGATTAGCCTTCGCTTTTGGTTGTATCGTCGAGTAACCGTGGTATCGGCAACAGTTTGTATCCCGAATAAACTTATTATGTAAGTTTGACGAAGGCTTTAAACGAGTTTCGCTGCATCGCGTTTAACACTGGCAGAATATGGAGGCAGTCTGTGAAGGCAATTGAAGGAAGACGGTTCAGATGAATCATCCGTGCACGGAGAATTCGAATTAACGAGGGGACTGGATGCACGACATTCGGGTCACCGATTTACTTCCAATTTCGTCTACTCCTTTAGCGTACATCTTTTTTCACGCTAATCGGATAATCCTTTGATAAATCAGCAGGGCACGGCCTCCGGCTCGTCTCACCGAGGGCTCGTTCAAGGTGCATCGTGATAAATGATCGAATTTATTTATTACTCTTTGTACATTGCAGATTTTTTTATTACAATGTTGAGAATCTGGTTCAAGGTAGACACGACAGAGGATGGTAGAATTTTAATTTTTCTTTTTCGTTGCAACATCGAGAATCTGGGTCAAGATATGTTCTTTAATTTGAAAGCATATCCCATTACATATTCCATTTAATTTTACGATTAATAGCAAACGTGGAGATACGTGAACTAGAACTTGAGAAGTTTGAAGCTGAGCCAGGTTGCCCCGCTTGGACACCGAAGGAATAATAGATGATTTCATGAACCTCGAGATCTTTTCGTTACTGTTAAGCGACTGGTGAGATTTCAAAGGAATCAATGTCGTAAACGTGTTTCTGGCGCCCACTGATCGACACATATGGCTGAAAAAGAAAAGAATCGGAAGTCAAGGCAGCCTTTCAAGCCCGCGTACAAGGGACTTCCTCTTTAACAGTCGAGAGAAACGGTAGAGTAGACTTTCAATTATAAGAGCACTATCAATTATCTCGTTTGTCCAGCAACCTTACGTCTCACTGCTCACGAATAACCTGACCTACGAATGCACAAACTACTGGCTGGTGAAATGTAAAAGGAGCCTTTTCATTTTACCTTTATCATCGTTTATTAAGCTTTCGTAGAAAAACCTTCGGGCTGAAAACTCGACGTTCTCAAAACCCATTTCACTCATAATTAATATAGTCAGTCGTTATACGCGGGTTCAAAGGCTGAATTCGTATAGAAATATATTTACTAAAATGACTATTTTCCCTAGGCTATTTTTTAAGAAAAAATGATTTTCTAATCTAGGGAATTCTTTAGAAAGGAATAGAATTTTTTTTAGAAAAATAGGGATCCCCATGTCTCAGGGTGGCTTCTCGGAATTCCCGGGTACCCGAACTGCCCCGTGGGTATGCCCGGGTTCCGGGCCCTCACCCTAGCCCACCCCTTTCCCAGACTCCCGCCTTGCCCCTTAGGCGGTCACCGGGAGACTGACGATGTAGGGGACAAGGCCCCATATATATAGGCCTCTGGCGGACCTCCACCCGCGTATAAACGTTCGCGCGGGAAAATTTGAATTAATGTTTTACCTACTTTGTTACTCGTACGCTTACATACTAAATTTTATAATTATATTGCTGTTTTCCTTATCGAAGCTTGATTTGATCGTGAGTATAAAGCAAATTACGATGATCCCCAAACGAAGCAGTAAAAAATAATGCAAAATCACAAACAACCCATCTCGCATGCATAATGCATTCAAGAAGCAGCATAATAATCATTTCCTTCATTACAATATTTGTCCAAGAACGATGACGAACGAATAGAAGGCTAAAACTGACTCAATTATGAGGTCACTGAATTTTTCGTCCACGTGTAACATATATCTTTCATCATTTTATACATAGCATAGTCGATTCACTAAATCTTACAACGTTTCCACAGATAAAAATAGAGTAACTACAGCATTAAAAAAGAAATTAGTAATTCGTGAAACAAGTATTTCAAATTTTTATACGAAATATTTCCTCGATTTTTTCTTTTTCAAAAATAAATAGTTCAACAAAGGACGATGAAAAAGGATTAAACTTTAATTACTTTGAGATTATCGGTGAACCAAGAACACAAATTCGACGTGGAAAGGATGAAAGGAAACGGTGGCCTGGAGGAGATCGCAGTGCGGATGGGAATCAACGAAGGAGTGCAACTTGTGTGTTATTTGGGTCATTGTATTTTTTGGCAAGGTTCAGGCAAACATCGGAGCCACTCTATACGTATAAACGAGCACTGTTCTCTCCCCGTTGGATCTGGCAATCGCTTGGAAACGATCGTTCCGCGCTGCCTCCTGCTTTACGCTTCTTTAAACCCGATTTCGCTGCCAATCCGCCTTCGCATTTGTCCGTAAATTTCTATAATTGGAACCTCTACGATAGCCGCAGTCGTAGTCGAACGTAATCGGCTCGACTCCACCGGTTTCCGCGAAACGTTTAATTTATAATTTCAATAGAATTTTCATCTAACTTACTGGCGTGCGTCGGTTTATATAAATTTCCGTTCTTTATTAATTTTAACATGGAAAAAAAGAAATAAATAAATAAAACGATTTTAGTCCAGGACTGAGGAATTACCAGGCGCATAAATTTGGAAAATTCGAAAACGCTCTCGAGAATTAGTTGATGGTATCGGATCGATGCACGGTTAAATTCTTACGAGGTCACGAATATATCTTCCAATCGACGCGTGTAACCGCGGAAAAATTCGCGAACGGATAAAGATAGGATCGCATCGATGATCGATTCGAGACGGTGTAAGCCATGCGAACCGAAGCGTTAAGTTTATTAGCCAGACTAAAAAAGATCTATCGAAAGTTTCCTACGTTTTTAAGGGTAGCAACGCGATTGGAAAGCGAGAGAAGTGACGAGGCAGCAGATCAATCGACGAGATACAATGAGGAATCGAACATGTAATAAAATAAATAAACGCAAGCTAATCGAAACGGCATACTTTCAAAATATACGACACTACACAACGAATACATAACAAGGGTCGAAGATTACGAACCGCAGGAGATAAATGCAGCAAAGTCAACACGGCTAGCAGATCCTTTTTTTTTTTCGAAGTAAACGTAGGTTGTCGTGGTATAGATTCGTATATAGGTCATGCGGGAATGAGTAAAGTTTAACAGGAAGCCAATAATTCGATCATCTACGAATCAGGACGAGCGAAATGGGGTAGAAAACCGGAACAAGGACGAACCTCGTAGGGCGAGTCCATTAGACTAGATCACGCCTACCGTATGTGGAACTAAACGATCAAATGAAAAATCGAAAAATAAAGAAATTCCATGAACAAATCGTATCACAAGCGTTCCGGTGATATTCTCAATTTTATAAAGAAGCAAGATAACACGGTTTCTTTCAAGATAGATATTCACGAGGCACAGTCGAACGTTTGAAAAATCAGAAAGAAAGGGAAACGTAAACGAGCCAATGAAAGGTTGCAACACTACCTGAACGCTCCCCAAGAAAATTTCGATAAACCGATACGAGATCCTTAAACACATCAGAAATCCTGTTGATCTACCGGTTGATTATCCATCAGAATGCACACCACGAAGAAGATGAAGAAGATTTATAGCAGAACGATACGTCCGTCGAAGGAGACGAGAGAAGAGGTCGGCGGACGAGGAAGATGTATTCGTCGGGGACGAACAACTACCTCGAGACGGCTGGAACAGCTGGCACAGCTGGTGAGAACGCGACGCATAGCGTCGCGAGAGACAGGACGAGCGTGTACGCGGCTCGACGTCGCGGGAGATAACCGCGAGAGTCGGAGGATCGTCGAGTCGACGCGACTCGACGCGACTCGTCGCAGCGCGGCGGCTCGACGTGCCGAAGGACTCGTTTTCGTCGATGACGTTTCCCACCGACGACGAGCGACGAGGATGGCGAACAGGGTGCCCCGACGAACCGCCACGATTCCGTCCATGTCCGCGTTCGAATCCACTGCTCCGTTCCGTCGAGTCGGGGGAAACTGGGTCACCGAGTCACCATCCAGCCTCCGCTCCGCTTCGTTTCGCACCGCACCCGCTTCGGGATGCCACCCTTGCGCCACGTCGACAACGAGAATCTATCGTCACCGCTGGGATTTCAAACCCTTCTACTTCTGACACCGCGAACGCGATATACTTTGAAGGCTCGACATTTTTTTGTAGATTCGATTTTTCGAAATCGTTTGGTACGCAATGCGGATTGGACGGTGGAAGGGTGAGCAGTTTTCGGATGTGATGTGTAATACAGGGTGGTTCTGAAGTTAAATCTTTGTTGTAATCGTAATTTGTAAAATTAAGTTTCCTTAAGCGGTGAACAATTAGCCGAGACAGATGCAAGGGGTTAATTACTTTCAGACGTTAATTGTAGAGACAGAAAGCTATTTTCTTGGTATAAAAAAGGAACGGGGAAGAAACGGGGCTACATTGTATCGTTAATGCTGAAAGGTAACTGTCTTCCGCTTTTTTTGAGGGGACAGCAGAATATAGCCCGATGGAAATAATAGTTTTCAGTAGAAAACTGGGTCGTTCGAGTCTACACATCCAATCAAGCAATAATGATGGGCAACCTTGGGCGTGAAAGTAGGCCGAAGCCGGCGGCAAATAGGGATTCGGGATACAGGAAAATTAGGACTCCGATTATATGTCATAAACAGGTGATATGAAAAGCATGATCAAACTATCTTTTCAACATTTCTGCTCGAAGGTGTACATTTCACCCCGTCCCACCCATTTTACATATTTCTAGCCTTCTTGCAAATTATTCTTGTACAGTTTGTAAATAAACAAGTTCACAAATGGAATTGGGATACAACGTAAGTACAACGCTCTCCGATAATTTAATGAATAATTTAAAAGCTAATACATACCAGAGTGGCTGAAGCCAGTAGGATAGAGAAACTTTGGGGTCATTGAATAGTTTTAACCTAATAGAAAAGCTCTTCTGTTATTTATAAGAAGCTCAACAATAACAGTATATTTTGTATTTGATACGATTAAAAAAAAAAAAAAAAAAAAAGGATTAAAAGTACCATGTAGAACGTGGCATATAAGTTGTGCATGAAGGGCACTTTTGCTACGCCATAAGAAACCCTATCCAGACGGGTGAGTCACGATCCAAGTGCTGGGATTCAATCTGCGAAAAGCTGCGTAGAAAATGTACTCCTCCAACCGCACCCATCCTCGTCGGAACGACGCCTTGGAAAAACTGTACGACGTTTCCCCTCTCTTCTTTTCTTTCTTTTTTTTTTTCGTCGTCGACGTGCTTTTGAATCAATAATCCTGTACTAGGACTAGCCTTTCTTTGACCGGAAGAATTCAAAGGCCACCCCTTTTGTCTGAATTTCAATTCTTCTGAACCGGATGAAAAGTGTCCTCTTTCGTCGGTTTTTAATTTCAACGAAATAAATATTGTACTTGGCAAACGATTTGTTTATAATTTATTGTTTCGAGAACGTTGAAAGTTTGAAGGGGAAAAAAGAATTTCCTTCGAGAAATCAAGCGACCAAGAACGATTTATGTTCTTCGACGAAACAATCAAGAGTCTCGGGAGCAAAGCAAGTTTCTATTGCGTCCAACAAACGAGCGAGCTTCATTACTGCTCGCGCAAAGTTGCTGTTTGCTCGCGCTATACGCCCCTTGCACTTGGTAAACTTCATCCCGGCTCGTCTTCTACTCGCCTTAAAGCTTTTTCGAATTTTAATCTCGACGCGGAAAGAATTATGGTTTATCTTTCGTGACCCGCAATATGAAGATAACATTTATTTCTATTTTCGGAAAGAATACGAGGAGAGAGAGAGAGAAATGGCCTGGGATCAATCTAACGACCCAATTTTTTGGAGCTATACGATTCTAAGCAACCCAGGGAATATTGTATAGTGAAGTAAAAAGCAGTAATGAAACTAGGATTTTTCTAGAGTGGTGTCAGAGAATTTTGAAAATATATAACTATAAAAGTATCAACTTTCGAAGCAGATTTTTACAACAATCTAAAGCTAAAACCACATTGCTGCTTGGAAAACGCAACCCAGCTTAAAATAATTTGCTACAAATATAAATACTTTCAGCTTTTTATTCAACCTGAAACGACGCGAATTCCACGGTTTCAAACGACAACATAAATTTTGCAAAAATATTTAAAACAACGCTCCAACATCCACTCTCCAGAACTATCTCTTCTTTTTTTTTTCTCTCTCTCTCTCGCCAGTATCCGAAGAAGAGGCTTCACTCTGCTACGTCTGGTCGACCGAGAAAAGTTCTATTTCTGGTTAGGGAACATAAAATTTCGCGCGCCATTATTTACGTCTGCTCTTTTCTTCCGATCGCAAATGATTGGAATATCCTGTCAAGCGTGAAAACCCATCCTGTGATATTTTACTCGCCGATACCTAACAGACGCCTGGCTGTTCTAACAACACCGGATTCTAGTTGTAAAAATAGGGGGATTTGCTTGGATGAAAAGGATCGTCAATCATTCCATTAATCAATCTAATCGGAAACTGGACCGCCTCGAGAAAGTACTGACCTTCTTCTATAATGATTTCAGATCACATTGATAGATGAGAAAATTACATTCATTTTTCTTTTTGATATTTATAATTCTAGGGACATTTATTTTCTAACGCTAATATACTAGGTAATGTTAACCCTTACTTCTTTTTGTTCCAAAATAAGAAATTTAAAAAAAATGAAAGAAATGTGTATTTTGCGGATAAAAGAGAAAACGAAGAGATTGCAGCACTTGGTCCCCTCCCAAGTAGCCTGGGATGAAGAAACGTAACACGATTTACTGAAACAAGAAACTAGTTCAGTGAATACCGTATTCCTTATTTGACAACGCGCGCAAGTGTACGACGACGAGTCCGGTGAATATCTTAAGCCGACAACGTAATGGATACGCATAATAATGAAGAGAAGCCTTAATTAACAGGGTCGCGTGCACTTTCGAAGGAACGCGTTGAACTTGGTGAACGAGCTGTGTGGATCCGTTAAAATAACAAGTATGCAGTTTATGAAGGCAGCAAGAACCAGCGAAACACATGTACTCGACGCGTCATGGAAGCTTGGTCGTCAATGAAAAATGAAGAAAAAAGAACATCTGTTAAAGAAAACATGCTTTAGAAGCCTAGCAACATCTTCCAGTTCACTCATCACGCCATACACGCTTTGCAAAATTTAATATTCACGAAGATGGTGTAACTTACAATTTTTGTATTATTATGTAAACTTGGATTGTAAAATTATTTTCAAAGCTTAGGATTTTTTATATTTTGAATATCAAGCTTCAAATTGGAGGGAGTTTAAAAATTATAAAAATAAAACAATAAAACCTTCCAAATGCAACTCTATCCTAATAAATTAATTCAATTAATGTATTTTCTTTACTAAAAAAAAAAATTTTCAAAGCTTAAAATCTTTAATATTTTGGATATCAAGCTTCAAATTGGAGGGAGTTTAAAAATTATAAAAATAAAACAATAAAATCTTCGAAATGCAACTCTGTCCTAATAAATTAATTCAATTAATATATTTTCTTTACTAAGAAAAAAAATTTTCAAAGCTTAAAATCTTTAATATTTTAAATATCAAGCTTCAAATTGGAGGGGATTTCAAAATTGTAATAATAAAATAATAAAACCTTCCAAATGCAACTCTATCCTAAAAAATTAAATTCATGTGGTAAGGCGAGGTCCGAAAGGTTTAACTAATCGTCGAAGAAAATAGAAGGCTTCCGTCGAACGGATGGGTGTTCCAGGAGATGATGTTGGTACGCACGCGGTAGATATACGTGTCGAGCAGTACTAGCAAAGCCTATCGATTTGCTCTCACGCCAACGAGATGGACGAACGAGACCAGAGCGAAATAGAAGCAACTTCCGCATTCTCCCGCGAATACGAGAACGAAACTTTGCTGAAACTGGTCCGAAAAGCAAACGCAAAGGCCGACCATCTTGTGTGTCTGTTATCAACGACGGAAAAGGCGAAGCCGAAAGTAGCGGAG